AAGTCGATGAGGAAAAATTTATTGCATGGTGCAAATGTTGCAATGTTAAACTGGACATATTTTACGGGACAGATGCTTTAATACGCCACTTTTGTGTAAAGAATAAATCTTTAAGATCTCCACAAGAACCTGAAGATAATGATGTGAACAGAATGACACAACAATCTATAGTCACTGAAAATGCAAATACAAGCTTCCATCATGATGATATAAATAGACAAGCCCATCATGATAATTTAAATAAAGCTCTTGGAAATCAAGAAAATCAACAAAGGTAACTGTTATGTAATTCAAATGTTAATGTTTCACTTTTCTGAAGTTATTAATATATATATTATGTACATTTTAATACACATTAAAAATTTAATATATTACTTAATTCAATCTATTTATCTTAACGTTTATTACAATAATAGTTTATCACTGTTATTACAATACAGTGATAAACGATGTTGTAATAGTCTAAAAAGTCAAGAAATATTTCTAATAAGTATAAACTTGTACCAATTTTCAATTATAACTTTATTTTCAAGTCAAGATATGTAAAATATATAATGTTAATCTTAATCTGATTGATTGACAACAGGAATCGAATGAGTAGGAATTAAATTATATAATTCTTACTGAACTGAAAGATTCAATCAATAATCTTTATGTATTAATGAAAAATTATACATTTCACTCTCTCTCCTATCATCAATCTTTCCTAAACAGCTTCTCTGAACATTTTCATTGGTTTAATTGGCACTATTTTTGTATTTAGTAACACATCGCGATATTGTACGAATATAACGGCAGCTCGAGAAGGATCAGACGATTGGATATGGAAACATTTTTTCAAATTAGACAATTTTTCTGTACGGTGCAATAATTGTAATAAAATTTATTATAATAAGGATAAATTTAATAAACGTACAAGTAAATTGATAACATCAATAAAGGCACATTTATATCATAAGCATGAAATATGGACTGAAAAAGATCGCTTAAAATGGGAAAACGACAATAACTTGAAATGGCAATATGTTGACAAAGTAGACTTATACAAAGGAAAATGTAAATTTTGTAAGTATATTTGTCATGGAGCATATATGTATAGAGTAAACTCGCATCTGCGAAAAGAGCATAGTCAAGAAATAAGAGCTATTGTACAAAAAAAAATTGCAAATAAGTCGCTATCGCAATATTTTGAAGTCGATGAGGAAAAATTTATTGCATGGTGCAAATGTTGCAATGTTAAACTGGACATATTTTACGGGACAGATGCTTTAATACGCCACTTTTGTGTAAAGAATAAATCTTTAAGATCTCCACAAGAACCTGAAGATAATGATGTGAACAGAATGACACAACAATCTATAGTCACTGAAAATGCAAATACAAACTTTCATCATGATGATATAAATAGACAAGCTCCTCAAAATCAAGATCAACAAAGGTAACTGTTATGTAATAAAAATATTAATAAAATGTTTTTTTTCTTAAGTTATAAGTAAATACATAATGTACACTTTAAGTATATTACAAATTTACTTCAACGTTTACGTTTACGTTTACGTTTTATGTTTCAAATTTATTTCAACTTTACTTAATTTACTTCAATATTTCGCAATCGATAAAATACTTAATTGTAAATTGCAATAATTGCAGCGATTACACTACTAGCGTATTTTATAGCAACACAGGAATAAATGACTTAAGATTTCACTGTCAACATCATATAAATGAAAATTCAAGGTATGAAAAAGGAGCTGCAGACAATAACGAGTATAGAATGATGCAACAAGAAGCAGCAGAAAATATGGCTACGCGTTATCATCATGAAAGTATATATTGGCATGATTTTAAAAATCAAGAAGGTCAACAAAGGTAAATGATATTAATATTAATATATTTTATTCTTCTTGATAAATATCAGTATATTCTATTATACATAATTAATGCAATTATATTGAACAGTTAACATTTAAATATATAATATATATACAGACTTTATAAATTTGAGTCAAACATTTAATAAATATGGTTTCAATGTTATATTTATATCCAACTTAAATAATATTAACTAATGAATATATGTATTTAGTTCTGAAGAAAATTACGCGAATAACACAGTATTCTTTGCTGATGATGTTTCGAATGTAAGTTTTCATGATGGTACAAACTGGCAAGCTCTTGGATATCAAATAGATCAACAGAGGTATGTGCTACTAATTTAATGTCAAGTGTGTGTGTGTGTGTGTGTGTGTGTGTGTGTGTGTGCTTTATTAATATCAATACATTTTATTCTTCTTGAAATATTAGTATATTCTATTATATATAATTAACGCAAATATATAATAACGCAAATATATTGAACACAAATATATTAACATTTAAGTATTATAGACTTCATAAATTTGTATCAAACATTTAATAAATATAATTTCAATGTTATATTTATATCCAACTTAAGTAATATTTACTAATAAATATATATCAAGTTTTAAAGGAAGTAACATGAATAACATAGTATTCCATGCTCATGGTGTTTCGGATATAAGTTTTCCTCATGACAGTACAAACTAATAAACTCTTGGCTATCAAGTAGATCAACAGAGGTATGTATTATTTCAATATGTGAAGTGTTACTGATATCAATAATGTCAAAATTCGTGTCTCAAAGTTCTAGTAATTATCAATGTAGTATTAAGTAGCTATCAATATCAAGTTACGAATAGCTACTCAAGATTTTAAGAAGGGACTAACGTTAATAACGTGTACAGACTGATGCATCAATTCGTGGCAGCAGAAAATGGCTACAAGTTCTTATAATAACGATATAACTTTTCAAGCTCCTGAAAATCAAGAAAATTAATAAAATCAAATCTTATTGATATAACGATGTCATTTTCATGACTTTATTATTATGACTTTTTTTTCTACTTGGTTAGGGAAAACTTTTACGCACTACAATTTTCACTTCCTATAATCAGGATTGGTAAAGATTAATGTTTTTTTTTTTTAAATAAAACACATTATGTGTCTTCTTAAATATGTTTTTAATGTTTCAAATATGCTTTAAACAGTAATATAAAAAAAAACATATTTAAAACATATTAAAAACATCAATCAAGCATGTTTTAAACTATTTAAAATACGTTTAAAACATGTCTTTTACCAACTCTGTCTATAACTCGATCATTAAGTGATTAAGTTTCATTGTGACTCAATTCAAGATATTAAGTTTTACTTAAAATATGTTTTGAAATAACAAACAGTCTAAGTCTAGGGGATAATTGCGTCTGATGTGATAACTTCAAATGAGACATCCTGTACTAGAGTTGTAAAGTAAGGGAAACCGGGAGTCCCGTAAATAAAAACTTTATATCTTGTCATAAATAATAATTTATCTAATCCGAATCGTTATCCAAATTGCAGTTATAACAAACATAATACAGTAAGTTATTCTTTATACATTTAGAATGTGTACACATGTTCACAAAATTATCTTTTTAATTATTCTTATAATATTTTCATATTATCATTACTACTTCTATTATACTTAAAATTAATTTTATAAAAGAAAGAAGAAGGTATAAACATATATGAACATATTTTCCATATAATTTTATGCATACTTATACATGTTTATATATAAATATTTATAAATATATGTAATTTATCATAATTTATCATTTATTATAAATATGTATACATATATATTACTTACAAACCAAATTTCATATTCAAAACGATAGGATTTTTCTATCATATTCTATCGTTCTCTATATATAATATTTTTACCAGAGCGCAGCGAATGACAGATTTCCTAATCTAACAAACTTTAACAATTAACATTTCGATTTGCAAAGCAGAACGATGCTTTTTTTGCTAATTCGTAACTTCTACAATAAACGCGTCTGTCTCAAAATATCACAACAGACTGAGCGGCAATCATTGCTGCGTGCTCAGACACATTTACGCGTATCTCGCGCGATTTAATTGTAACGCCTCGATTATTCTACTTACCCCTATAGTCTACTGACCCCAGTATAATCTACTCTCCCCTATATTTGAATAATACTGACGGATAATACTGACATTATTTGAAATAGATATATTGTTTATTCATTCAAATTCATATTATTTAAATGTATATATTGTAAGGAGCATATTGGACTATGTACGCAAAAGCGACACAGAATGTGACAAAATAGCATGTTAACGCATTGAAAGATTGTTGTCAATTAGTTATTAATTTTGAAATTCAATTATCAAAAGTGAAAAAGAGGATGACTGACGGAGCCTTTTAATATTATTTTACGTAATATTTATAAGTTTCTTTGTGTTATAAAGTATTAAAATAAAAACTATGTTAGAAAATAAATAAATTTCACAATGATACTATGCATATAATTTGAACATTATTGCTCTAATGTCTAAAATCTCTCTCTTCAGATTATACAATAATAATTTTTATTTCCCTTAATATTTATTTTTATTTAAAATCAATTATTTTAAATTTTTTAAAATAATTTTTAATATTATTAATTGTAATTTATATATAGTGGTTATAAAATTAATTAATATAATTGAAACACGTCTTAGATCTTATTTGTATTTGTTCGAAGTATGTATGAGTAGGTCGTAATATGATAACGCAAAAGGAACTTTTAAAATACAATTTAGAAATAAACAGAATGCAATTGCAATAAAATTTGAGCAATTTCTTTTAATCCTAACATTATTTTCATTAATATACTTGGCACTTATTTTAGTAAAAAAAATTCTGTAGTTTAGTCGGATATACTATAATCTAGAATAAAAATCTAAGATAAAATTTTAAAAAATCTAGGAAATCTAGAATAAAATTTTTTCGGTAATGAGATTTTTAAGGACTGTGCTGTGAGATTTTTAAAAATAGTACTTATAATAATGTTGAAAGCATTTCAATTAACCATATACATAATACTAAGACATTAAGATGTTAATTAAATATTACTAAACTAACGTTAATAATAATATCCATTGTATAGAATATAATATAGAATTATTGTGAAATCTCAAAGAAAATCGACAGATGATCTGGAAGATGATAATAATTTATTGCGTTACTTTTATCTAATTTTAATTGTTCTTCACATATATGATACATATAAATAAATAAATATATATATATATATATTTCACGACAATAATAATAATAATAATAATATTGCCGAAAAACTTTGTTTTTTTAAGTCTCAAACCAATATCTTCTAAAGATTTCTTAAAATGGCGGAAATGATAAACATCAAATGCTACAGAGGTTACACGGTAACTGAAAAAATTTCTGACACGCGAGTGCAACACGCGCATCACGCAGCACGCGTGCGAGCACGCTCCGCTCGAGACTGCGCATCGCCAACTCACGCAGGTGAATTGAAGAAGCGAGCGAAGAGTCTTTCGCGGCGAGGATGGCGGCTTATCTTGCCGATCGTATAAATTGCCGCATTCCGATAGAAATCGGGCGATTTGGCCCGATTATTTCGCTCTTTCTCTTTCCTTTCCTCTGTTATCTCGCGTATCGCGGCTCGCCTTCGCCCTGGATCGCGAAATGCAAATTGGCCAATTACGAGCGCAACGTGTACACCGTCGACACTGTGCGTGGTGGTTTAGCTCGCTTTTTGGATTTCTTAATTTACTGACCGAAACGCGCGCATAACTCTCAAAAAGTTATACGCAGAAAAGTAATTGGTAAGAAAGAGTACCTATACTTTAAACTACAAGAGAACACGCCTATAAATAATATAAAATATTATTTCTATTTACAACATTGTTATGGAGAACATATTAATTGTTGCATCCTTTTATGAAATATGAATTGTGAGTAAAATTTTTTGTACGTACATATTATAAGGTAATTCCGGTATTTCCCGCAACTACTCTACATGCCTTTATGTTATATTAGTATTGTTATATTAGTGGTTTCAGTTTTTTATTGTTAATGAAATTATTATGAGTTGAATCGATTTGTCACTGTTAAGTAACGCCATCATAAATTATAATCTACATAAAATGATTACTGTAGGACGTGCAAAAGACTTAGTGGTTATTTCGTGATACATAAGTGTAAAGAAATAGTAAAGCATGTTGTATAACAAAATACAGTACAAGTACTTTGCTCTTTGCAGTCTTACTTTGCACTTTTTTATTCTTTGTTTAGTTCTTATGCCTTATATATCCCATTTGTTTGAGATATATGGCATTTTTAGCGAGCGGGATTTATGCCCAAAGCATACAAAGTGCACAGATTGAATTCAATGCACTAAATAAACAATAAACGTACATGAAATATGTATCTCATGTCATAACACTTGTAATACTTGTAATACATGTGGATTGTAATTGTTTTTTATTACTTCATATACATATTTACCATTCTTATTCCTTAATAAAACTTTATAAACACATTTTATAAGTTATTGTGTCATTATACGTCTTATTTATATGCATTATTTGTAAATTTTTCATGAGCCGTATATACTCCCCCTCCCCCTATGAGCAGTCATATATTCCACCCTTATGGGATATACGGCAAAAATGCAAGAGCTTCAAAAAGTTTATTTTTTAATATGAAAAATAAATATTTCTAATATTTTTTTCATAGTAGTAAACGATACAAAATTTTTACTAACTGCAGTTTACTATAAATATAATAAATAATACTTAATATAAATTAAGTTTTTGATATACCGGAGTTACCCTATGTACATTTATGTAAGAAAATTGAATGTTTATATTTTTATGTAGTACAAATTTTTCTTTAAAATTTGTGTTAATTTGCTTATAATGCAAAAATTGTTTGAAATAGTTCGTGAGCTTTAAAGATTTAACAAATATATACGTTAA